AGGAGGTTGCCACAGGGTTGTCATGATGGTGTGGTTGTGTCTTTCGTCGTCATCAAGCTCAACGCACGTCGTGTTGTCAAAACACGTTACACTAACAATATATCAACCCTTCAAAGTATTAATTGAAAAATGATGTTTGTCCCATATGAGTGTTGGCATCGGCATCAAACATATCCACCACAATATTACATGATTTGGGTGATAAGACACCGTTATGGTAGAGGTGTGTTCACCCGACCTTGCATTAAGCATATTTGCATATGTGATGAGGCCAATTGATAGCTGTCATTATTATTATAAGCACCCATACATAAGAAACATCCTCCTGCAATAACTTTGCAAATTTCCAAGGCAGAGTCAACATGTGCACAATAACATAATGCAGAAGTCTATATGAATATTCCAAACAACCTGCAGTTTCTGGTCTAACCTAGCACGCTAATGTCACTCGCCGCTCATAGGGAAAGTCCATCTGGGATTATTTAAATAACATAATTTTGACCCTCATACTTCATATTAGAACATTGACACCATCAGGCAGGTTTCAATCTAATTCTTCTCTTGTTGACCCACTAGCAAATATCCATTTTAGAAATCTTCAGATTTGAATAAAAAACTTTGATCAAATCCGGATAGAAGGGTCCTTGCAATGTGAGAAATTCAACCACTCCTTGAAATAGAAGATGATGTTGAACATATAGCCGTGAACCCGCAAATGATCAAAAATTCATAATTGTGGAATGCACAATATTCCTTGTGTAGAAATCGCTGCATACGTTTTCCATCTTTTGATGGCTGACTGAGAGAAAGACGTTGCATCTAGTTTGTTCTGCAATCGTATATGTCTGACTAGGTAGCAACTTTTGCCTCAGTTATAGTTTCTTTTCCCTTTACGACTGTTTCTAGACCTTTTGGTTGATGATGAGCCATTTCACAATTATTTCAACAAAACCATAAATAATATCACACAAATTGAACTTCATAACAATTATTCAGTATATAATAGCTACGGTACATCTTAAAGTCATAATAGTATGCAACTAATCAATTAAGGCATTCTTAACAATACCACCCGAGATCATGTTACATAGCTTATTCCACCGCTTGTGTGCTGGAAGTTCCCATCACCCTTTTTGTACGCTTGTGGTTTCACATAATAAATCATAACATTGCTCGAGAAAGTTTTCATAAGCAATATTCATACCACTCAACCATTTCTACATGGGTCCCGCCCTCTGTGTATGTAAGTTGGGGTGCGACGATAGGGATCTCAGTGTTGGGAACATAGTATTTCATTCCTATTTTCCATTGCATCGACTTGACGCACGACTCATTTGAAATCGTAGCAAATGAACATTTGTAGATCCATGAAAGATATATCCCTATGACTCATTAGATCCAACCAACACCCTTTTCCTAACCATGTCATCTGAGTGAGTGATCTATTTACAGGTTTCATTCCAAATGACCTTACAATGGGTACAAGAGAATTATAATACCCAAAAACAAGACATACTATGACCTTAAAACTTGTAATACCTACTTCCTTTATGTATTCAACCGACACCTCTCTTTTCTCACACTCCTCACACTCTAAAGGATGTGCAGGATATGAACAACTAGAGAACTTCTCATTATTCTCTAAAAAATAGAAAGAGAAACCTATAGGATAATTTTAGCTTCCAAACCAAACTGTTACCCCTAAAATTAAGTACACACCCGTCCCAACGCTAATTGCGTCTTAATCTATTTGTTCTTAACAGTTATCACAAACTCAAACCAAAACCTGCACACAATCATACTTATTTAGGAACGTAATTTCCTAATCTAAATCGAACAAATTTTAACTTAGAACTATTGTACATCAGGTCAAATCAACCAGACAACATAAAAAAACCCGTTTGAGAGAAGTATAAGAATGATCCAGTTACAAGGGAAAGAACCATACAAAAGTAACTATATTATCTTTCGCAGGATGGATAACCTTCTTATTGCAAAAACATGACGTCTAAGAACACAATATCAATTTTGAAATCCTAACTCTAAAACGTCAAAAACCGCTTACCCCTCGAAAGCAAAAGGGTCGACATGCCAGCCTCTGCAAACCACTACCCTACGAACTTAAACAAGGTCCACTTCACCCAAACTCCGTGTCGTCAACCAACCCTCAATGACCCACCACCACTACCCGCTACGCTAACTAGTACGACCCACTCACCCTGTCGGCAAAACACCACGAATTGTCACTACACAAACCACAAAACACTACCACCACGAACAGAGCTTGCGTCACCAACGACGAGAATCCTTGGTGCGACCAACACACAGAGCTTGCGTGTCAACTTATGATCTTTGATTAGGCTATAGTGGGTGCAAGCTGGTAGCATGCTGGGGAGAGAGATGGAATGTCTCAGATTTTGGTAATTGGGGACGAAACCCAATGTTTAGTTAAAGGCATCATGGAAGATTTTCCAATGGCAAAAGAGCCCTCGGTTACATTATTTCCACTAATTAATTAACGAGGCTAATAACGGCCTTCTGTACATGCCCGTAGGTAATTAGTGTGTTTATGTTAGTTACAAAGTACTATACACCAAATAACATATAGGACAATATCATAACCACTTAAACACAAGTAGGATGATGAAAAAGAAAACAAGATAATTATGATGATGGGGGGGGGGGGTGGGGGGGGGGGGGGGTGTTTCAATGCTTTCTTCACATTTGAGCAAGTTTGTTTTACCAATCAAAACTTGTGTGACATTGTTCATTTGGTCAATTTTGAACCTATATGTAAAATCACCATCTAAACCATCAATTTTGCCTAAATTTAGAAGTGGACCAATGATTTTGTTGTGCAACCTGTTTCTTTGTTGTTTAAGTGTTTGCACACCTTCAAATTGATGATATAAAGTTGTTTGAAGCATCACTTAAGCTGTTCAAACGCTTCCATACATTTTTTGGGCTTAAAAGCACCACTAAAGTGTCATTTTCTTGTACAGAATTCGATTTTGTTGTTGTTTGAAAACTTCCAATCTTTAAATTTCAATTCTTGATTGGCAAGAGCTGGTTTCATGTTTCTTAATGGAATGATATGATTAAAAAAGTATAGAACATCCATAAAAAGCAAAAGAAAACCAAGCAATCCAGTTTTGACCCCAAAAACCAAAAATCCAAAAATCTTCACTTCTTTGGGGACTTTCATCAAACATTTTGCAATTTTTATCAAACACTTTACTGCACTTCGAATTTGACCTGCGTTTTTTATTTTCTTGATTGTTTAATATGTTCTAGTGCCTTTTCTAGGTTCAGGTTCCTTTTGAGTCCCTCCTTTGATTCAATGCTCAAACTCACTTGAATTCAACTTGTTTGGCTTCCATTTATGCATTTCAATCTGTTTTGACTGAAAAAAGAAACTGGTGCAGTAACAAAATTTTGGTGTGACTGGTTTGGTTTTGTGCATTGGTGTTGTGACATTTCTTGAAGTCTCCTAGCTGCAAGAACCCTTCTCTAACAGGGTAGCATAATAGGAAGTGGAGAAATTGCTTAATTGGCTTCAAGAGTTGATCTCCAAGCTGTCTTTTTCTTCCTGATCCAACAACACTTCTTTGACCAGCACAACATCTTTTTCCAATCAGTTTGGATATGCACCAATTACATCCATTGCAGTTTCACCTTTTCACTTGTATTAGGCATAGTTTCAAGTGTTTTTCGTTCATTATATCACAGAACCTTTGAGGTTTAATTTGCTTTTTCATTTGCAACTTAAGTGTCTTGGAAAATTTCTTTTCAAGCAATTCCAAGTGCACCATTGAACATTGTAATATCTTAGTTTCCACTTCTTAGTGTGAAAGTGTGTTAAGGGGCTCAAAGTTTCACTTGCACTTTCACTTAGGACCGACCGTCTAACATTTTTCATTTACATTTGCATTCCTTCTTTAAATTTGCTTGAATGTTTTTTTATGTTTTACGTCTTCGTGATATATAGGTGCGCGTTTCATCTAGATAAACCTTCTTTAAATTGGCTTCATCACATCATGCAACATATGTTTAAATGCAGGTGCAGGTTCAGCGTATTGAAGATAACTTGGTAAACCTATCCCTCCACATGAACCAACAATTTGCTCACCTGAATGAAAATGTTAACTTAATTCTTCATCATTTAGATGATTAAGTTGCTTACTATTCCGTGAATGTACTACACGACTTTTTTGCTTATATTGACTTATGTGTTTGATAAATTACATTACCTATTTTTGAAAGTTGTTATGTTTGACATTAGTTTTCATACTTGTATTTATCGTTTAATTATTTGTTTCTTCAAAATTAATCAATCTCACTTCCATAACAAATAAATTCATATTATTTGATATAAAATTATATTACAAACAAATATTACATTTAAAAATAAATTCATTTTACTAAATTATAATTTTGTTACTTTTTAAAAATTAATTTTAATTAATATTTTTAATTTTTTACTCTTTATAAACATTTTTACAATTAAATATAACAATAACATTTTATATTACTTTAATAACTACAATCGTTTTGTTAATCTTTAATTTTTACTAATTAAATAAATTTTTTAAATTTGTCACATTAATCAAATCTTACACTAATTTTCATAAACTTTACTTTTAAATTCATTCAAACAAACAACAAAAAATTTATTCTGAAATTTCTCCAAATTCATTCGATTCCTCTTCCTGACGTATAAATCTGTCAACAATGACAAATCTGTCAACAAAGACGGATCTTTCAACAAAACATTAGCTAGACTTCTAAGAATTTTATGCCGTCCCATCAAACTTTTTGGCTTTTTTTGCACGAAAAAGGTGAAAACGGTTATTTGACATCCGTTATTATCATTTGATATGGATAAAATGGTTCTAATAAGAGTAATGGTATGGTGATAGGAAAACTTTTGTTGTTGTAAAAGTACCGTTGTCTGAAAAAAAATAGAAAGAAAAGTATTGGATTTGTTTGGACAAACATGGTTGGTGTTCTTCAATCCTCAAATCCATATAAATACGCGTTACTTTTTCACTCTACAAAATCAAAATAGAAATTAAAGGATCCATGCAGCAACAAAGAGCAAATGATAAGACCTAAACATGTATAATGAGATCAGCAATAATTTACATCAAGCAAGTCCCGCTTCCATTCCGGTGAATGTATCATAGAGAGGTTGATTCATCGTCTCTGGAAGATAAAACGCAAACATTCCTCCCACTATTCCACATGCTGCAAACGCCGCAAACGGCAGACACCCACCCAAAACCACCACAAACGGCGCCAGTATCGCTCCCATTTGCGCTGCCTGCGTGGTGCATCCAAGTGCGGCGTTCCTCACCACCGTCGGAAACAGCTCCGCCGTGTAAATAAACAACAAATTATAAGTCCCGGCCATCCCAAATATCCCCAAAACACCACACACCATTCTCACCACCTTCCACGCTCCGACGTTGCCAATCAAACTCCCTATCAAACAAAACAACCCGCTGAACTACATTGTCGCCACCGTCAATGGCTTTCGCCCAAACCTGTCCAAAAGCACCGCCGTTATTGTAAACGCCGGCATCTCAGCTACGGAGTTCAAAATCACGTTCAGGTAAAGGTTGGTTTCGAGGTTCATAACATTTAAACTAAGCCCGTAGTAGACAACGGAGCCTAAGAAGTTAAGAGCCACCGCTAAGAACAACCTCACACGAGTGACTGGAGAACGAATCACGTCTACGATGGATCCCACCAGCGCGTCTTTGTTTTCCAAGTTTTCGTTTTTGTAAGCCATCAAGGTTATGTCATTACCTGAATTTTGGGTTTTTGTGGACGATGCTTCATCGTCGAGAGAGAGGAAAACACCATCGGGAAGGTTTTTCCCGTTGGAAGAAGCAATGGTGGACATGAGCTTCATGGCTTCGGTTACTTTCCCGCGAACAAGGTACCATCTTGGGGACTCAGAGATAAAGGGTAGGACAAGGATGATGTAGAGGAAGGAGGGGATAGAGGAAGCTATATAGAGATAGCGCCATGATTGGAAGATGTAAGCGATTCCAGAGAGAACTGCAATGCCGCCAGAGAAGAAGTAGAAGGTGGACATGCCCGCCGTGCCGCGCTTCGTCGGGCCGATAGGTTCGGTGGCGAGGACGAAGGCAGTGAGGCCAACGCCGCCGCTGCTGAAGCCGGTGAGGAGGCGGAGGAGTGCGTAGATCCAGTAGTTGGGGGACAGTGCTGTTAAGCAGCCGAAGAGAGTGTTAAGGGCGCAAACCACTGTGAGAGAGCCTTTTCTCCCCAGGGATGAGTCTGAGAGGTGGCCAAATATTCCAGCACCTGAAAATTCACTGTCAATATTGTTTTTGTTTTGTGCCAAGAAAAACAAAGGAAGACAGCAATTTAAAAGTATATTTTTTAATTCAAATATTCATATTATTAAATATTTTAATATAAAATTATTTTAAAAAGTAAAACCAATATTTGTCCAATTTAATATCAAATTATTTTAAAAGTAGTTATATCCAAAACGAAAAGATACTTCATAAAGTAAAAACTCTTAAAAAATCTAAGTATTTTATTTTTAGAAAAAAAATATTTTTACATCTCTTAAAAAGCCAACTACTTCAGTACTCGTTTTATTAAAATTAAAATTATAATAAATGATAATTATTGTTAAGGATTGGCTTTTAAAAGGGAGTTGTAAGTATACTCTTTTACTTGATTTGAGTTTAATAAGTTTTACGTGAATGGTATTAATAATGGAAAAAGATATCTTTTATACAAATTTTTTTTGACAATAATTTGATTTAATATATATGTTATTTTTTTATTAATTTATTATTGTATTGACATATTTTAAATCTAATAACATATATGTTATGTCAAAATATTATTAACAAATTTATAATAATATATCATTGCTTATTAATAATTGCTGTTTTTATTATACAACTCAAATTCCAGTGATGGAGGTGGAACTATTTCTTTCAGCACCAACTAATGTTAAAGATTCCACTAATAGCTTGTATACGGCCAACCATTTCGCTGTGTAAAACTCTAACTTTAACGGAGCGTAAGTTTTATGTTAATAACACACACTGCTTATAAATAATATATTGGGAGACGCATATTTTTTTTTTACCTACTCTGGCATATCCCGATCACATCGTTCAGGTTTTCCTGATTTTTCGCAGGTTTTCAATTATGTTCATGTAATTTTCAAAATTTGTCATATGTACGTTTCTAGTCTATACACTTTTAATATAAGTTATATTATCATTTTAATATATTTTTTATCCCTACAACTACATTGTCTTTAACTTTATTGAACTTTTATTTTGGAATAATATTAGTAGACGTTTATGGACACACATGGAGCGTAATCCTCTACTTAAAACACGGCCTAACTATAGCTTTATTGAATTTTCGTTGCATATTTAAATAAGTATGTGCAATAAAAAGGGACTTTATGCAATGAATACAAGTTATAAAAAGTTACAAATATATGTAACGAAAGTGACATGTGAAGAATAAACAAAGGAAGCCAAACAAAAGGAAGGCACATGCATAAAATAAGTAGTTTTGGTAGACAGCTGAAAAGTTGTCATCCACTTGTCCTAGAGATGAGGTATATATTCAAAACCATGAACTCTCAATCAAAATCAACAAAGTAAAGTGCAACGCATCTAAGTGGGTAAAGGACAAAGAAGATTGGTGTGCTTAATAAGTCCGTTTCTCATTCACACTTTTTTCCCTTTCCCTCAATCTCAACCCAACACAACTTAATTTCCTACCTTTAGTCACTTCTAACTCACTTTTTAATATTTTTCTAGTATACTTCTTCACGCTCATCTCGTTTTCGGTTTATACTTTCCGTAATTATTATATTATATTCAAACGCTACAAATTAAACAAATGCCCTTTCGAAACGCAAACCATTACAACCACGACTCCACAAAACAACCAAACATTATGTCATCCTCGAACTTCGTCAACCATTCACAGCCTATTCTAAATTGCTTTTATTAAGAAATTTCAGAAGCTGGTCCACGACAAAAGCTTCAAATTGGGAGAGATTACTGGACAAAACGTCACAGTAGAACGTTGTCTAAACATTTATACTTTTTTCAGTAAATTAATAAAATAGAACAAAACATTATCCCACAATTTTCCTTAACCACATCCTTCGACATTTTTAAATCCGAAAACGAAAGCTTTAATTCCATGATTTGTATGTAGTTTTCATAAGGATAAAGCATATTCTTATATATTCCCTATATATAT